AGTAAAATCACTACTGGGACCGGCACATGGCATGTAACAGATAAAGAAATATCGTATTCATCTTGTTTCTCGTTTGGAAAAACAGACATGGAAATTGAAGAAGGAGGAATCGCTGTTCAACCCTCAACCCATGTACAAGCATGCCTCGTCAGCTTCTTGAGACGGGTTCCTCCCTATCCCATCCTCCCAGTATCAGGCATTAAATTCTTGATATCACCAAGCCTTATCCTTGTTTCCCTGTCCTAAAGTATCTCTCTCATTTTGAACTTGAAGCGACGTCTCTGAACCTCCTCTAAGACACTATCCGACTCTTATCATACGCGAATACGTTTCCTTATCTCCTAGAGGCATCAAGTCCTCCCTGGAGATCCTGCTCGAGCCCCGTGTTTCCATGGCCCTGATACTCCTGTGGTCGGGGGTCCTCCGCTGTCCATTGGCCGTTGCCCTGAGGCAGAGGGACGGGCACACCTTGCTGGTTCTGGAGACCGGCGGGGCCACCTTGGCCAGGAACAGTGCGGACAGTCTGTCGGAATCGCATCACCTCGTCCAGAATCATGCCTCTCATCTGGCCAACATCCTCAACGACCTCGAAGTCGAAGTTGAATGTGGTAGGGCAGTCGGGCTCGTCTGAGGCATCGTGCCAGATGTGGAGGTAGGGGTGCTCGAGAGCCTGCTCTACGCTGATACGAGACGAGGGGTCGAAAGCGAGCATCTTGTCGAGAAGGTCGAGAGCATCAGGGTTGGCCTGAGTAAACAGGCTAGGGAATGGCTTCTTGGGCATGAAAGGTAGGTTGCGGACGTATTCCTGAGCACGGGGTGAGCCAATGCGAGAGAGGGTCTCTTCGTTAGGCGTTCCAAGAATGTGAAGAATCTGGTTGAGCTGGTCGACGTAGTCACGGCCCTTGAAGAAAGGTCGGCCACCCAACAACTCAGCGAGAATACAACCAACAGACCAAACATCAACTATATCGGGTCAGTAAGACAATCCACTGGCACTAGTGCTTTCGGGTCACACATACTCGCTTTGGTGTAGCTCTGGAAGCTCAACATGATCTCGGGCGCACGGTACCATCGGGTAGCAACGTACTCCGTCATGTATCCGGCATTCTCCTCGGGATCGACTGAGAAGCCTCGGGCAAGACCGAAATCGCAAATCTTGAGCTCGCAGTCGGCATTGACGAGCAGGTTTCCGGGCTTGAGATCTCGATGGAGCACATTGGCGGAGTGAATGTACTTCAGACCACAAAGGATCTGGTAGATAAAGGATTGGAAATGGGCATCGGTAAGAGGCTGGCCAGATCGAATGATGGCAGCCAAATCACACTCCATCAGCTCTACGCTGTGTCAGCTTATGGTCACTCTTTCTTCTCGGCTCGTTACTGACCTTCGTACAGATACGTCTCGTTGAAGTTATCGGGTCGAGGAATGTCCATGTCGTACAAACATGTGATCTGTTCATGAGCATATTAGCATACGCGTCCCCTGGTACTCGTTGCGCCTCGGCAGAACTCACGTTGCGGTGGCCTCGGAAGTGCTGAAGCAGCTTTATCTCGCGCAGAGCGCGCTTGGCGAGAATCTTCTTGCTAAAGACATTGGTGACCTTTTTGATGGCGACGCCCTCGTTGGTTTGGTTGTTAACGGCGGCACTGAGAGGCGGGGTTATCGTCAGCAAATGCAGAGGCGGCGGGGTAGAAGACGAGTTTGGAGTCGCACGCAGCACAAGCAAGAGACGAGTGCTACGAGCAGTAACAGGATACGCACTCACCAGACGATACCGTAGGCTCCCTGTCCAAGCTCCTTGGTGACCGTGTAGCGCTCGTCGACGATAAAGTCCTGGTTAAAGACCTTGAAGACCTTCCGTCCTTGAAGGTCCGACATGGTTGCTGTTCTGATATGATCTTGGATGCGGGGCAGATGGAAGATGGAAGCTTCGAATGCGACAAGGTTTGGTCAAAGAGGAACGACCGTTTGCGTCGGTTGAGGAGTGAACCTTATAGGGAAAGACAAGGTAAGGTATATAAAGAAGAAGAGTTTAGAAATGCTGTGTAAGAACACGACAAAGAAACAGTCAGCGCCGTCTTTGCGATATATGTATGTACCTTAAGTTGCTGGTTGGTTGGGTCCCGCGGGTTAGACGAGTGGAATGGGAAATAGCTCCCTCAGCTGCTGAGCCCATCTCTGGACGGCTACTGGACGAAGCATTGCGTTGCTGTTTTAGCAGGGGCTCTCAGGGCTGCTAGAACCGATCCACAGTGACCCGAAGCCGCTAAGGTATGAAAAAAGGGACCCCGCAGCGAAGTCACCGCCTGGTGATGTGGCTGATTTGCTCGGCTTGCGGCCCCCACTCGCACTGGGCCAATGAGAAGACGAATCAAGCTCTTCACTTGATAGCCGCGCGACAACGACCCTGGTTCTCAAGTCGCAGTGATGCATGCAACGGCTCGGCCTCATCTATTGCAAAAAGGGGAACTTGTCGTGTTGGACTCTCAGAGGACACAGACTCAAATTTGATGATTTAAAAACACGCGTTTCTTTACGAAGTCCAAAGCTTATCCCCTCCTAACAAGAGACGAGACAGCCTAACAAAGGTATCTCGGCACTCACCTCCCGCTTCGTTAGGTCGTGTATCCAGCCGCACACCAAGGGGCTGAGTCTGTTAAAGGCCAACACCGATGGTCAGCAATCTCATCCAATCTCACCCGGCATCTGGGAGATCCGCCTCACGTAAAGCCTCCACTGAGAATTAGGATCCAATGCCGTCAAGTTGCGAGGTGTACAATATGACCTCGTGTTGTTATCATAGTCTCTGGGTCCGGCATCACCGACGCAACATGACAGAGATGAGAGACACTCTGAGTGAGATCAGACAAATTAAATGACGCTGTTCCTCAGCTCGAGATCAAGGCCGCCCACTAGGCCGCTGCATCGTCAGCCCTGGGAGCATAGGGCTGAAGCTTGCCAAGTGGGACTGTCACAGAACTCTCTCAGACATTATGGTGTACGGTTTTGCTTCTGATGTCTCTGGCAATTTTCCTGGTCTCGTTTGATCATTGTGAAGGTATCAGAAATACTCTGAGAGCTTGTGATTGCAGTATTCCGGAACAAGTGGCCCAAAGAAAAGTTCGCCGAGTTTCCTTCGTTTTCTTGCTTCGAGACCAGCATCCATGGGTGTTTATCTGAAACCAACCTCATGGATACTGAGACACAACCTGTAGGATCGACATAGAATAACCTACCCTCCAACTTAATCGAACCGTCTTGCTGGGAATCATTCAGCCAATAATCATCAACTTTGTTGAAATGTCAATAAATATTCTAATCTACCTAGTCTCCTCTAATGTGTAGCCTCCCTCGTTCCCCTTCATTGATCATCTGTATGTACAAGTATCGGGTATTAAATCCATCACCACCCCCCAACTCCGTCAATATCATCCATTTACTCTTCTCCGAAAGTCTCCTTCAGAAAGTTCTTAGAGAACCGCGTGCACTGCTCATACGCCTTTGCGAAACCGTCGTCTCCGCCGTAGTAAGGATCGTTGACGATCTCGGGTCGCTTTGTCCCGCTGAATTCGCCGAACAGCATAACCCTGGCTTTGGAGTCCGGGGCGTTCTTCTGTAGTCTGTGAAGATCAGAGAGGTTCGATCTGTCCATGGCGAAGATGTAGTCAAAGGTGTTGAAATCGCTCGGGTGGAACTGGATATTGCGTCAGCAAGATTGCGCTGCGGGTGAGATGGATGGGCAACATACGCGCCGCGCGAGATGGTCGTAATCATTTATACCATTGGCTTCGAGGGTAGCCATGGTTCTATCATCCGGGGGTTCTCCGCTGTGATAGGCAGCTACAGCGAGAGCAATCAGTTGAATTCTGGTCAGTTCTTCCGATTTTCATACCTGTACCGCAAGAGTCGATGCGCCCAATCTTATCCTTGAGATTCGGCTGCTTGGCAAGGCTCTGGAAGATACCCTCAGCCATGGGTGAGCGGCAAATATTGCCGAGACACACAAAGAGGACGTTGACTTGTTCTGGCATGATTTCGACGATGGTACAGTGATACGAAACAGAGTAGGTCGATCGCGAGAAGAGAAAAAGTACCAATAAGCTTATTTATCGAGAAAGGAGGGAAAATGAAAGAACCGAAATACTGATGATCGCAATGGGATTGAGTGACGTGACGGGCCGATGCGCATAATCTAAGGTAGGTAATCTAACTACCAGGTCTACCCCACCATCTCACAATTCCAGGCTTTGGAGTGGAGAGATGGAGGGGCACGGCCTCGAGTAGCAAGAAAACATCAGTACAGGCTGTCAAAATAAACGTAGCAAAAGGTATCCTAAGCTTGGGCTAAAACTGTATTAATTTACTCAAGTCTTTTTATCATTTAGGATCAAACTCTCGAGTTTTCTTTCCTCCCCCTACCTAGCACGGGCACAGTCTTAAAAGCCATGGCCATCAGAAGCTGAACTAATGAAGGGGATAGATTATAATCAACAATATTTTCCGGTGATATAGACAAGCTACCTATAGCACAACCAAACTTTACCTCCCAACCTCCAACTGTCACTGTGTCTCAGTATCGCTTGGCATTGTATCAGACCATTTAGTTTAGTCTTCTGTACATAATCCGAAAATTAAACAAGTTTCAGTGAACCAAACACTGTATGGCCTTTACTAAGCAACACGTGCTCTCGTGCTCAGCTGGCATCCGCTACCCCTGTCAAGAAGGCGTCTCCAACGCGTTCTGATTGTCGAGAACGTGCAAGCATCGTCACTTAGCTCAAGCCATCGGCCTAAAGTCTTCCCTTCTTCACGGCTCACATCTACAAATGCGACAGAAAGTTGTGAATAAGCGTAATCTCAGTGTCTGAAGATGCAGCAACTGAGCAATATGGTCTATAAAAAGGGCCTCGATATCCCAATGGCCTCAGGTTGACTCTCCTCATCAGCCTTCGCTCTCGAACAACTCTTTATTCGTCTTAATATCATCCCAATTGCCCACTATGTCTGAATGGAAGCCACCGGCCTTTGGTACTCCCGTCTGGATGAGCATCCCTGCTACAGATGTTAGCCGTGGTATGTCCTAGCCAACTGCTAGTATGTCTTGCTCTTACACCTCTATAGCCGCAGAGTTCTACAAGACTGTTTTCAACTTCAACTTCAAGCACTCCGATCACAAGAATCCTGGCGAGTTCAGGAAATTCGACTTCAACCCTAGTCTTGGCTTGACAGGTGGTATTCTGCAGGCTCCTGACCACACTGGTAACTTCCACCCAGGTAAAGGAGGTCTCTGTGTTTACTGGTTCGTCGAAAACGTTGATAACATCGGGCCTGTCATTGAGAAAGCCGGTGGTAAAATGTTGACTGAGAAGGAAAAGGAGGGAGAGTTTGGCCTGTATAGGTTCTTTGAGGATACCGAGGGATCTGTTGGTGCCGTGTACCAGATGGCTTGAGCTTATACTTAGGATGACCGATCTTTGCTCTTGAATTGACCACACTCCTTTTACTTATCACTTCGATCTTCTCCTCGTATGATACAAGTATGCAATGAGAACCGCCCTAGGAACAGGGTATCTGATGGAGGTCTCTGGAACAGTGGCAAGGGGTCGAATTCGAGGCATTTGCGGGTGCACCGAGGATTATAAAGCCGGTCAGGGGGGACAGTTTCCATAGCAGTGTATACACCAGTGTTGATGGCAAATGAGGAACAAAGTCAGGAGTTGATATTGTGCTGCAAAGAGCCATCGTGTAAAGTCACCATGATAAGGACGACTCCAAGCTTCCGTCATTTGCCTTTTGCCATGGTATGCTTTACCAGTAGACCAATGGTACCACGACCGATGGCAAAACTTGTCGGCATAATCTCCCTCTCTGTTAAGCCGCATTGATATCCGTAGGCATCATTATTGCTCCTGCGAGACCAGATGCGATTGGACCTTTCGTGGATAAAAACCATACCTCTTTGCAGTGTGGCATACTTGGTACCTTGTCTTAGAGGTTTCGCAAGAGCCCGATACCACTCATGGAAAACCACGCAGCGAAACGTACGACTGAAAGATATACTTGATATTGTGAGCAGGAGTGCATAAGTCTACGGTATGATAAAAAAAGGATCGCATGTATATACCTTTGCTATATGGTAAGTCCATAGGCTGTCACATACATTGGCGTACACGACCAAAGCTTGTTACCTCAGTTTAACTGTCAGGCAAGCTCAAATCTCACAGTCAACCGGCCAATCACTGGTGAATAAACTTCTTTGAATTTCGGTTTCCATTCATTTTTCATACACAATACAAGAGAGGGGATGCCACGTATAGTAGAGGCGCCGTGTCATCGCACGTTATTCTGTCCCCTCATCCGCTTCGCTGGCCAATTCCAGCATCATCTCCAGATTTTCCACAAATTTCCCTACCCAAAAAAAGACACATACGCCAGGCTCAGGTGAGAAAAGCAATAATAATACACAGAGCGTCCACAGCCCATCAGGAACCTTTCCGTCCCGAGGTTGTGCTGCTCAGAGGCCGTTGTCGTTCATTGTTACAGTTGGTCGTATCGTTATGCGTTCAAGCGAGCTGTCGCTGACGTTCTCGCCGTATCGTCTCGAGGACTCCCATTACGCCATTGTTGCGCAATCGTTCGAGGACGAGTTTCATGCCATCTCGGCTTTTTCCCATTTGATCCTGCGTCTTGGTAGAGGCGATGCTCTCGATGCTGCGCTGAATACCCTTCGTGCCCCAGCTACCAATGATACCATTCTTGAACCAACCGTCCTCTTGGGCTTGTCCCAGCTTGCCCCTAATTTTATCCCCGAGTCTTGACCTGAACTGAACCATAGTCGTCACAGCAGTCTCGTTAGGATTCTGGTTAGCGCCCTCGGCAGGGATGTTGAACTCTTGCTTCTCAATGACAGAAAGCACGCCGGTGAAATTGAGGTTTCGGCTCTCCGTCTTCATCCAACCCTCCTTGATATCCACAACACTCGTCTCGAGGATGTATGAAGCCTTGTCTCCAGAGCCACCGCCGGTGACACTGGCAGGAAGTAGCTTGTACACAGCACCAGGCATTCGACTTTTCTTCAAATGGATGCGAGTTGTGTGAAGTCGACGGGTTTTTGGGTCGACATAGCTCTCAATGGTATCGGTGCTGAGCACGTGGGCGGCGAAGGGGTTTAGCTGAGGCGAGGAGTATCGTAGGAAGTAGGCGAGAGTGACAGTCGGGAATGGATGGTTATAGTTATGGTTTGTCGTATGAGTGAGAACCATTGTCGCGGATTCGAGCAAATACTGCTCGTCAAGAAAAAAAAGAATCGAAGAGAAGCGACGTAGAAGAGGTCCAATTGATCAAGTGGCAATTGGCTTGACCTATCAATTGTGCAATGAAGCCCTAAAACAAATCGTAGAGCTGATTGAACCCCCAATTCCTATCCCAAAGAGCCCGTGAGCTCGATGATGCTCTTGGATCAAGTTGATCACTAAGAGGTTGGTGGTTGCGGAAAATTGAGCCGGCGCCTCGGCTTAAGCACCAGCACTTTCTTATCTCCGGGGGGCGCGGAGCCGGATATGGGAAATCGACAAGAGAGCAGTAAGACAGAGTCAGAAACGGAGCTCGCAGCTATGTCGGGCCGCGAGAGAATTTACACAAGGGAAGAATAATACAGTGAGAAGAGCTGATGATGGAGTGATCAAGTTTAGATCTGGAGACCCTCGCGACCTCGACAAGCGCAGAGCAGAACAGAGCAAGCAGCACGAGACTTTGGCAACAGTAGCAGTACTCGACTGGTCTGGGCTTCTTTCTCCGCTGTGGAAGAAGAAAAAGAGGAGGAGCTTAGAAGAAAGTGGAGGCAAAAGGACGAGCAATCGGCTGATTGAGGTCCGTTCAGCCAATTAAGAGCTTCTTGATCACGAAACTCACAAGTTTCCGATTGGGCCGTGATGAGGGGTCGGTTGATCTGGGGAGAGAATGTGGCGATTAACACGTGATGCATTATCAAAGCGTCATCATACTGCAACACCAAAGCTCAGTGAGATGACGACAGTTCTGAGACTCACGATGCCACGGTGTAGGAGTATGACGAATCAATGTCACTTGGTCTGCACAATGACATAGCATACACAGAAGTCAATATCTCCGTGTTAGATCTACTTTTTGCCTAGAGATCGATTACACAGATTTAGTCAATCATCGTTGTCCCATGAATTAATGAGTATCATCGCTAAACTCGCTAGCATGTCCTAAAAGTTTCCTTGCCTGTATCTGACAAAAGGCGTTTTGTAAAAACTCCAATTCTATCCATATATGCCAACCGTGTTAAAGATATTCCCAACGCCTCGCAAATGCATCCCGCATAAATCCATTATAATCTATTGCAATAGAATGTTCCCCTTACATGAGGAACTCACTTCCAGCAAAGTGCTTCAAAACAACCCAACCATCCGCAAAGCTTTCTTTATCCATGCGCACAACAATAGCCGCGTGACTATGTCGATGCTTCTGAATGTGAACAGGAAACTTGCGCCAACCAGCTGCATCCAAGTTCTCGATCATCTCGAATTGATCAGGGATTAGCGCAAGCGTTAGCTGTCTTGAAGTCGATATTCTGCGCCGTTTTTTTAGTAGCTTGCGATGATCAGCATCATAGGTCAGACAATCTTCTGAATCTGACGCTGCCAGGTATTGCTGGTTCTGTGAGCTGTTCAGGACCTCGTAAGCTTGTTCGACTTCTTCTCGGATCTCCTTAATCCGTAGGGGCATGCGGTACTGCTCGATCTTCAACCCAGCCTCTCCTGACTCATGCGCCTTGATTCGATTGGCACTTCGGACTGTTTGGACGGCAGAGTTGGCGAGGAAGACAACAACTCCGATCGGAATTATAACACCGACTGTCACCATAAATGGGATGCTCTTGACCCACTTCTTGAGAGCTTCGTAGTCTGTCAATAGGGTGTCTTGATGAAGTTTCGGTCGAAGCGCAATAGGATGGTCAGGGTCAAGAATCACACCCTCGTATCCCTCAAGGTAGTTCAGATTGACCTTTTCAAGGTCTGTATAAGGATCATGTTTGGTAATGGCGGATGTGTAGTGTACAACACTTCGATCGTTGACAATATTTGTGTATAGTGTGCGGCGCTTAAACTTCTTGAGACCAGACATGAAGATAGAATCTGGATCGGCGAGCACTGCGAGAAGGGGTCGGTTGGTGTCGCGGAATTTATCGATGGTGAAAAGTTGGCGGCCGGACATTGATAGCGTTCGGGCGCCGAGGACGTTCCAGACGTTGTTGAGCCATCCTTTAAGTGGTGTTCTCACTCCGAGATGGGGGGATGCAAATGTGGTAAAGTTCTGACAGGATTCCGTGTTAGTTCATCCAATCTTTTCCTCCTACTGTTCCCCTGAATGCGACGTGCGACTTACCATGCATTCGAGATCATCGAGAATTCCCTTCGCATAAAGCAAACCAACCGCATATCGCGAAACTAGACCTCCGAGCGAATATCCTGCAATACTCAACTTGGTGATCTTGCCTCCTTGCTCTTCAATGCTGCGCAACTTGTCCTCGATCTCTGCGCACACGCGCTCGCCACCAAGCTCAATGCCATCGTATGTGAAGTTGCCGCGGTTCTTCTCAGCAGGCATGATATATAATTCGTCTTCGGAATATTCGTCACGCAAAGCCTTAGCAACATTGCGCATGTGACTTGGGTTTCCCCAAAGCTGTTTCTATGGTCAGCGCTGTATGACGTATAAGGATTGATCGTCAGGGGGTGATGCTTACGCCGTGAACTAAAACACAGAGGTGAGTAGCCTTTGCGCTTCCGCCGGTAACATTTTCAAGAACAACAGGTCTAGACATGGTGAAGGATGTGCGATGAAAGTAAAATGGCCAGGATGAAAAAAGAGACTAAGGCAGAAAAGTTGCCAGTCTTTTTAAGAATAAATTAGTTGAGGTTTCTCAGGAGATGCAGCCCCCAACGGAGTTTCGGATTGCGTAAAGTCGGGTTGTCTGAAGTCCGCTCAGCTGCAAGAATACGGAGGCAGCACGGAGTTAAGCCGTTAAAGTCCCCACCAAAATGTCGATGACCACTATCGACGTCGACCAAACACGCGACAGCATATGCCGTTTTAGGAATACAATCTGGTTGCTAACAACGGTTTTTAACGAGTATTAATGCCGTGGGGCTGAGTTGTGGACGCGGTCGTGTGAAGCCATAACAGCAGAGGCTTCGTTCAGTCTTTATAGTTGCGGACTTATCGCAGTCTACAGGTCGTTACACGATATCTCGGATAGATGTGAATTCCGACTACTGCCAATAGCTGGCTTCGGTTTAGATTGCATGGACTAACTGGTCTACGGATCTTACTTGATCTGTTCAATCGATCCTCAAATGTGGCGCTTTCCCACACCATCGCGGGTTGGTTCTAGATTTGGGAGAGCTGAATTCCTATCATGACGCCTACAAAGGGGTGCGAAACCGAGTGCGAGCCGTCTTTAAGGCATAAGTGCACTAAAAACAAGTTTGTCGTCAATGTAAAGAGAACCAGATCTGTTTCAGTATTTGTTCAAAACTCATACACAAATGGTCAGCTGCATTCTTACAATTCGGTGGTTATCACAAAAGAAACAAAGTCCATCCCTTTATTCAAGATGGTATGAAGCGCCATGGCTCATGAGCCTCTAAAATCATGGCGGAGTTCAACACTGGAGTGCGCAAGGTACTGCTCAAAGTGGGTCCCATCATGAGAGCAACCGCTTGAGAGCTGAAGGCTTAGGCTATCTGCAGCTCTTTCAAGCTGAGCCTCATCTGTACATCAAAAGCTACAGCTAATACCATCTCAATTGAATCAAAACGGAGACAATTTAATACATTTCTCTTTTGGTCCCTCCGACCATTCAAGGAGCTCACGTGCATTCACATCAGCACGGTCGTCCTTCAACCTCTCCACAACAACTCACCTCACTGAAGTGCAGTGGATAACCTCCTATTGATTGTTTCGTCTCACCAAGCACAACCACCTTAAACCTGGCTTCAACCTCCCACCTCGATCATTTATTCATGCTCAACGATCTCGGTGGCATCATTAGAAGTTCACATGATCACGAATGCCGACACAGAGCTCATATTGGGAAACCCTCAACGTCACTTTGAGGTGTCGTCACCATGAGTTTATTCAAACACATCCCCTGTCCCAAGGGCGATGATTGCGCAGCGAGCCTCTGTCCATTCAACCATCCAAAGGAGAAATATGAACCGCCGTCACAAGGACTCTCATCAGATGACATGAGCAATGAGACCACCGCAGCAAACCAAGATGTACCACCCAAGCGTGTGAGGACAGATCCCTTTCATCCGCCTCCTTCACCTAAAACTCCCCAAGATGTGGCACCCAGATCTTCTGGAACATCTCGTGGGGGTCCAGCGGATGATATCCCGAAGCCAGTAGCCAAGAAGCTTGAAACAGCAGCTCGAACAGTCTCCCCTCCACCACTGAAACGGAAAATGGACACTCAAGATCACACTCCAAAACCTTCTTCAAAGATTGCCAAAACAAGCCATTCTGCGACTGAATCACGTCCATCTTCTACCCGAAAACTTGTACCAGCAAAGCCCAAGAAGGCCGAAACTCTGAATCCGAGACTCCTTAAACGATTGCCTGCTGCTCATGACGTCCGTCTCAGGCTAGTCAAAATGCTTCACCAAGAACTTACCCGTCTCAACAAAGAACTCAAAGCTAACATCAAGAAAGACGAGGCGAGACTTCTACTATCAGATCAAGATCTTATCGTCCGAACACTAGACGAAGAGGAATACGTTGCTGTCCACAAGACCGCCGTGTACTCTAATGTTATGAAGAACAAAGTCATGCAATACAAGCGAATGAAGGTTGATCAGTGGAAGGCTGAAAGAGAGGACGAAATAAAGAAGAAGGAACTCGAAGCAGCTGGAAAAGATCCCAACGAGAAACCCACGGAAATCAAGACCGGCCTGACCTCTGCTCAGGAGGTTGAGCTTACGAAACGCATATTGACTCCCATCGATAAGCTAACAAATCATGGTTATGTTGCTAGTATACCTTCAGAAGCTGATATTGAAAAGGGGAGACAAGGTGTAGCAACAGCCGCAGGATGGGAGAAATGTGACCGTTGCCAACAACGCTTCCAAGTCTTTCCTGGAAGACGGGAGGAAGACGGTGCGCTCACTTCTGGTGGGACATGCACGTTCCACTGGGGAAAGACCTTCATCGCCCCCAAGGCTCCAGGCGACAACACTAGGCAGCCCAAGCGATATCAGTGTTGTGGACAAGAAGTCGGCGACTCTATTGGCTGCTTCACTCGCGATCACCACGTATTCAAGACCTCAGATCCCAAGAGACTTGCGTCTGTGCTTAACTTTGCAGAAACTCCCGATAATCCTGTTGTGCCGGCGGATAGAGCAGTGGCTTTTGATTGCGAGATGGGTTATACAGTTTTTGGGATGGAACTTATCCGTCTAACTGCAACATCATGGCCTACAGGCGAGGAACTGCTAGATGTCCTGGTTCGACCGTTGGGAGAAATACTCGATCTCAATTCGCGGTACTCCGGTGTCTGGCCCGACGACCTCGCTCAAGCTGAATCATGGACCGTGGACAAATCGACGAAGCCAACTAAGAGTAGCAACGACGATGTGAGCGAAGACGGCGAGCTGAAGCCTAAGAAGAAGAAGCTCAAGATCGTCGCATCTCCTGAAGTTGCCAGAGACTTATTATTTCAACTCATCTCCCCAACTACACCCCTGATCGGACATGGTCTTGAGAACGATCTCAACTCAGTCCGTATTGTGCATCCGACCATAATTGACACCGTGCTGCTCTTCCCTCACAAGGCTGGTTTACCATATCGGTATAGCCTGAAGATGCTCATGGATGTTCATCTCAACCGCAAGATTCAACAGGAGACGGGCCCAAAGATGGTAGGCCATGATTCTGCTGAGGATGCAAGGGCAGCAGGAGACCTTGTTCGTCTAAAGATTAGGAATGAGTGGATGGATATGCAGAGAGAAGGTTGGAAACTGGTGGATGGTAATTTCGTGGCTCCCGGGAAACCTTCAGGATTGACGGAGGCTTTCATCGAGACATAGATCTTGAGCCTGGGCGCCATATTCAAGACGGGTAGATACGCATGTGGATTCTCATGGGACTGGAAGGCATTGGCATCATAGATCTTGGGGTGCTGGACTTGGTCACTGGTCTAGCTAAGTTAATGCCGTTTTGGAACGGGGGAAGCCGTGAAGCCACCGGCGATTATACATTGCGAGATAGGGTTGATTTTCCCATCTGGTCTCGTTCTAGAAATACATAGTTGGCGCTCATGAATAAATGTTTTCATCGCCAACGATAAGCGGGGATTTCCCAGTCATTTCCTCAACATCCTTCACATCATACAAAGTCCGTTACTTTAAGCCCTGCCCACTGACAACAGGTACTGGCCACCCTGCTTTCCGCTTCCACCGGGTAGGTAGACGACGTTGGGGTTTGAAGAAAGAGTAGCAGCAATCTCGCGACTGGCCTCGATCTTCCGAATTTGAATGAGGCCGTCACCAGCCTTCTGGATGGCCTTGCTGATGGCCTCGGCGGACTCGGACTCACCCTCGGCGCGGATGACGTTGGCTTGACGCTCCTGCTCAGCACGCTCGACAATGAATCGGGCTCTCTCAGCATCTTGCTGGGCGATCTGCTTCTGCTCGACAGCCTTTGTGAACTCACGGCCAAAGGTCATGTGGGTGATAGAAACATCCTCGAGAGCGATGTTGAACTCGGCAGCACGAAGAGTAAGGTCGTTTCGAATTCGGTCAGAGACAGCCTCTCGCTGGGTGATGAGCTCAGCGGCATCGAACTGGGCGACGATGGCCTTCAAGACTTCGTTTCCAATAGAGGGGAGGACTCGCTCATCGTAATCGGCACCGAGGTTCTATCAGAGTCAGTCATATTCGCCTGAACCAGAGTTTACTGGGTTATCTTACCTGGTAAATTTTGGGGAGAGCCTTGACATTTGGTCGGTGCAGCACTCTCAGTGTCAAGCTAACCATCTGCAAATCCTTGCTGCCTGTGGTTGTTGCGATATTCCTAGGCTTGGTACGGACGTCGAAGATGATGCTCTTCTGCAGCCAGGGAACAAGGAAATGGGTTCCTTCATTGACGACGGTCTCCTTAACACCAGACAATCTGTCGAAGATGACAGCCCGAGTTCCTCCCTTGACGTCGTATATGGACTGACTGCCTAGAAAGACGACAGCTGAAGCGGGGACCGCCATGCGGTACATGAAGTTGAGGGCTCTCGCAGCGGCCGCCATTTTGATGTGGTGTACTTAAAGTCTTGTTCGGCGTATCGTTACAAGACGTCGGTCAAAAATGGTGGTCGTTAGAACCCAAATATCGATGGGAACTGGGGCGTAGCTGAAGCTTTTCGGAGTCAACGGACGGCGATGATGATTTGAAGCTCTTACTATGTAGTCCACCTTTGGACAAATTCCCAGTGCGATTCGTTGGTTGGCTGTTAGATTGATTCGGGTGGGTTGTTGCTCGGAGCTAGGCTCCTTCGGGAAAGCTCGGCTGATGGGGAAAGCCTGCGTCTGCGCTTTCCTTTCCAACCCGAGAAATCCTCAAGTGGCCCTTTTCTGCCTTTCGCCTCCAAACCGACGAGTCCAAAAACCACACACGAGAGATCTCGACTTTTCGTGCCAAATCCGCCAAAATGAGACCGACTCAGATGCTCCGAAGCGGCGCTGCCGACCCCAAGAACGGACAGTACGTGGATTGCGATTGAACGAGGGCAATTGGTGGTTCTGTTGCGTGCGGCTTTTCCAGTGGTTAATGGTCGGACGAACAACCCCAGGCCTTCAAAATGTTCCAATCGAGTCGGAATTGAATGCTGACGGACTTTCAATAGCTACATTGGTAACTGGGGCCACTTTGGTAAGTGATTGCTCCCACGATGTACGAACGAGGAAACTGGATCGATGAACGCGACGGACCAACGGATAATGACGATGCACGAGGTGGAGGCAATTGGGTTGACACAACACCGAGAATCGATGCATGCGCATAGCCGGTCCTGAAATTCATCGATGGGATATTCTTGGGGATTCATCAACGTCATCGACGAAACTGGAGACTAACTGGATATCAGGTGGTGAGAAGCAGCGTGGTATCATCACTTACGGTCTGTCCGCCAACCGACAGAACCCTTGGGCCGGTGCCTTCAACGATGCCATCTTCAACACTTTCCGCCGAACCAAGGGCCAAATCTTCTACTGGCTTCCTCCTATGATTGCCGGTTACTACATCATGAACTGGGCTGTCGAGCGGTACGTTCATGCACAGTGCTCAGCCACGACAAAATACTAATCTCATTTATAGAAGCGAGTACCTCAACTCCAAGGCTGGCCGTGCCGAGTTCGGTGATGAGGAGGAGTAAATTGGTTAAATTATTGGAGCAAAACCATGGCGGATGTGTTGGAGCAGGTCCTCTGGACCCATTGTACATCATCAATACCTAGATCAGGAGGTGCAATAGACGGCAGTCACACCATTTCTTTGTTATTTGGCCTTTCGGTATCCATATACTGCAATTGAAATGAAGACTCTCTAACACAGTGATCCCATCAATGCCATACCTCTTGATGATTCGAATCGATATCGGATCCACTGGTAATAGTCATTGCCGAGAGTATGATTGGATTGTCGGCGTTGGTCACGTGACAGCAGAATTGCTGATCGGAACCGGCGATACGTAACGCCGAAACTCTTCGCGGTAGCTCTTCTTCCACTCGCTGGAGAAAAAAAAAGTTGGAAAATTTCGAGGTCAGTGGAGTGCTAAAAGAAAACACTGTAACTTTGCGACCACCAACATTGCCGCCGAACCTTCAATTCGCACACACAATCCCCGTGCGACTCCAAAGCAGACACAAGTAATAACTTCGACGAAGCTTCCTCGAGAGAACCGCAGCAATGGCCGCCGAGAAGCCCGATAAGAAGGAGAAGAAGGACAAGAAGAGAAGCGACGAGTCCGGCGTCTCCAAGTCCAAGAAGGAGAAGAAGGAGAAGAAGGATAAGAAGGACAAGAAGGAGAAGCTCGCCGCCGCCCTTGAGGAGAAGCTCCAGCAGGATGCCCCCGTCGCTGCCGCTGCCGCTGCCAACATGGACGAGGACTCTGATGCTGATGAGGAGAAGGCCGCTGAGCTGCCTCTTGAGCGCACTGTCGTTCCCTTCGCCCTCCCCGTGGCGGATGAGAAGGGCATGAAGAAGGTCTACAAGACCATCCGCAAGGGTATGCGATTACACAGAACGATGTGTTTCGGACAGATCGCTAACAATTCACAGCTGCCAAGAACAACACCCTGAAGCGCGGCGTCAAGGAGGTCGTCAAGACTCTCCGAAAGTCTCCCCCTTCCGCCCCCGGCAACACCTCTTTCCCCGGCGTTGTCATCATCGCCGGCGACATCTCTCCCATGGACGTCATCTCTCACCTCCCCGTGCTGTGCGAGGACCACAACGTGCCCTTCATCTTCGTCACGTCGCGCGCTGAGCTCGGCGCTGCCGCCAAGACTAAGCGTCCTACATCCGTGGTCATGATCATGGAGAAGGCCGAGGGCAAGAAGTCAAAGGACAAGTCTGCTGACAAGGACGGCGAGGATGATGGTGAGGCGTTCGGCGAGAGCTACGCGTCCCTCGTCAAGTACGTGCAGAAGGAGTATGGCAAGCAGGCTTTCTGGGTCAAGGGTGGAACCAAGTACTAGGGGGACAAGGTCTATCCCGTTTCGACAGTGCCGGGACTGAATAAGGTCCCAAAGATGAAGAGAGAGCGGGGATCCCCAAAGATCAAGAAAGAGCGAGGGTAGCTTGGGACGAATGGTGTGGTGTGTTAGAACAAGTACAAGTCTGGATGTATTATACCAGAACATCTAGCCGGAGAACCAACGGCTGGATGAGGGCTTTGGCGGCGTTCAGGTTTAGCTATTGCATTAAAAATGGGACATGATTATCAAGGGTCCTTGAATTTGAAACATGGCAGATCTTGAGCTGTAACCTGTAATCTGCGAGCTCGTGATTTTGATGTGGTCGCGAAATACAGATCATTCGTCAAGCCACGGCACGCGACCCAATTCCGCACCACCACAATACACCCTAATATGACAACTCAATACCGAAGCATTGTCACAGCTGGACCCTTCTCTGAATACTCACCTTAGCCTGGTCCCATCATGATAGATTTTAGGACGAACCGTGGCCTTGGTACAATACGAGTCTTTGGTTAGCCTCAGCCACATATCTAAGATTTGTAGTTGCCGGAAGATCCCTTTCTACTACACACATCACTTCATAGCTTTCCGGTCGTTGATACATTCAAATAAATCAACATCATATTATCAGGGTGCAGTTTTGTTCATTTGTGTGGTATTATTTTGCCTTATTGGCTTTCTGTTATAGGTACATCGTCCTTATTCCCATTTCACACAGGCCCGAAGCCGCGGTATAACAAATTCATCATGAAAACCCCATCCCGATCATGAGGAGATTAAGAAACCTTGATCAAGAGAGAATTTACTCAAAAGGGTTGGTTCGGGTTCCCCACCAGGTGAGGAAGACGGAGAGACCGAGGGTCTCGACGAGCTTGGTAGCCAGGCTGACGCCGACGGTGTCGAGAGGTCGCTTCTCAACGAAGATCTGAGCAATGTACTATAGAAGGCCAGTTAGTGAATGATTGGATGCAGGGAGAGAGAAGAGTCAAGACATACGCCGGGAGCAGAGGTAGCGAAGAAGATGAGGGATCCGAGGTAAGCAGCACCCTTGTAGCTCAAGGTACCAGTGGCGTTGATGAGAGCACCGACACCATAAGACTGAAGAGCAGAGCCAATGAGGGAAGAGCCCCAGGCGAGAGCAGCACCGGAAGCTTCCTTGGAGCGGATGAACTCCTCCTTGGTGTTGGCAGCCTTGGCGCGCTGGTAGGTCTGGCCGAAGATGGGAGCGAGGACGGCGAGCTCAATGCCGTGGTTGAAGGCCGTGCCGAGGGCGATGGCAGAGGGCTTGACGGGGGGGAGGTAGTGCAGAGACATTTTTGATGTGATGTGGTTGTTTGTGGTTGAGAGATGGGTATAGCTTCAATTGGTTGAGATGAGTTGAGTTAGAGTGTGAAAGAATAAGGTGCCAGGTAGCTCGTTGGATTGGATCCTTCCCAGTATTTGTACTCTCGAGCTCGTCACAGATCTCGATCTCGCATCATTGAGAAAAGCGCTTCCGGGTGGCTTGCCCTTCCATTGCCTTGACTGTTTCTCGGGTTCTCCCCTCCTCCCTCTGCCCTTGTGTCGTCACCAGATGTGATGATGTCACCATTTGGTGAGACAAATTTCAACTCTGGACCGTTTTCCTCCATGTACCAGCCACTGCAGCTTCTCTTCACTGCCACTAACCGATTTAATTCACTGACCTTCACTCATTGCGGGGTGCATTTCTTTTTCCTCCCCCTGCCAACTTTGTACCTGATCTGACGTTTACGTGCACGACTCAGACATGCCATAGCATGATTGCAGAGCTCACTTACTCTTCTATACCCAAGGTACTCACAGCTGCCCTGTCTGTAGTTGGAGCTACAGGAGCTTGATCTCCTGTGGGCGGGGCAAAAGATGGGGAAGCTTGGTCTAGTTAGCCTACTGTAGGTCCAGGTCCAGGGCAAGTTTCTTGGTGACCAGGGTTGTAGCTGCTCCTAGGTACTAACTCCAGCAGAGTTCAGTTCATTTCCATGAAAGCAAGCAAGTCTTAGCGGGGAACAGCGCCATAATAACGAATCTCTAGCATTCTCAGAAGTGAGTGACGAGTGACGGTGTCACGGCGTCATTTGCGTCTATTGCTTTCCTTTCCCTCGGCTCTCTCTCACTCTCACTCTCACAATGAACCCCGGCAATATCAAAGCCAGTCATTGACTTTTCCTTCTGCCATTGTCTCCCTTTCTGGCCGAACTCCCTCAAAGAGTCCCCAGCTGAAAAGTGCCTGATGTGATCCACGGAACCGAAGCCGGCCCAAAGCTTGTTTTTTATTCCCCGTTTCCAACTTCTCAGTTCAAGTAAATTCCCATCTTCAAACCTTGTAAAGCCAGTCCTGGCCAACTGGCCTCCCGAAAACAGCCGGCTCAGCAACACATTCCGTTTCGAGCTAACCTGCAACTCTTGTCTCAGACTTTCACCACATGCCTTTGACACCAGACCCTGTCCCTGGACATCACAATTCGAGTACAGAGGATTGGGATGTCATGACGGATTTGATGTGTGATTGTGGATGGACCCTTGTTCTTTGTTTGTGAATAGCTTGTGTCTAACTGGAAAGATTTTGATACATCACAAGACAAGACAGAAAGCAATGGATCCTGCACTTGATCGCTCCAACCCTTCCAAAAGTGTTGTAACTGGAGCTTCGCTCCTTGTTAGGGTTACCCTAACATTGAAAAGTTTGGGAAATCATGGATAAGACAACTACATCATCATATATCTGTCCCTAAATTAGACGATATTTATAAAATCATCAGCAGTTTACCTCAAATATTTTCAAGCCACTCGTCTGGTCTGGGGTAACATGGCGGTTGCTCTCCCGCCACATCTACTACTCCCTAACAAGGGACCAACTTGACCCACGTAATCTACAGCGAAAACGAGAAATCAACTCCAGATTAAAGTACCTTATCATATGTTATGCCTAAAATATCATAAGTTATGCCATATGTTGACCATCTTCACCACTCCTTAGGGCTAATAACGCCCTGACATCATGAACATACTGCAGACCCTCCAGCAGCGGCACCAAATGCATCAAGTCTGTATCCGTCGGATCATTGATCCAGCCCTGGATGGGAATCGCATTGTCTGGCAAACGAATGTTAACAGCCTCTCCCCGGAATAATCAGACTGAGGCACCTTACCTTGGTGAAACAGATAACTCAACGGACTGTTGTCCAGAATCATCACCTTGCTCAGGTCTGACTCGACCGAGCTGAGGTCCTTGATGAAAGCGCCTTGCCGGAACGTGCAGTGTTGGCGATAGTATCGCGCCGAGAAATACTTCCTCTCCGCCTCTAGCCAGTCAATCACTGGATCTGCGTACTCCTGCACGGACGCCGTGAAAACAACCAGATTGTACCATTTGCATACCCGCCTCAAAAACTCGTCGCAATATGGTCGCTTGTTGACCCAGTATAGAATCGGATGCTGCGGTCCAATCGATGTCTGTCCACCAACCCCCACATACGTTGTGTTCAAGCGCACTTCAACCATGTGTCCGGTGCTCATCCTGCCGCCCTTGGACATGCTGTGTATCAAGGTTTCGTCCAGATCTAGAATCAAGGTCTTCTGCGGGCTCGTCGGCGGTTCGAGGTTGATATAGGACGGCTGCCTGCGTGGGATCAAAGGTCGAGGTGGTGCCGGTGTCTTTGGGTACTTGGTGAGCGCTGCGATGGGAGAAGTAGGAGATTTCAGATGCGCCGAGAGGTCGCCGCCGCCCAAATCACTAGCCTTTGTTCGCGCGACTGCCGATTGCGTTTTCCTATGCTTCCGCTGCCTGAGATCTTCGTCGCTGTTGAGCTTGATGCGAATTGACCTTCTCGTCGGACCGGTTTCCTCTGCAGGCTGTAGTGACTTCGATCGTGCATGTCGACTGAGACTGCCTGACCGCGATCCATCTGATTCCGACTCCGATGAAAGGCCTGATGACGTCGATGATGATGATACGGGCCTCGGTCTTGGTGCTAGCTTCCTATATCCTGTAGTCCTGCCGTAGTCTTTTTCAGAAACATTTTCAGGTTCTTCCATCGTCTTATGTCGAGGTCCGTGTAATCCAAATAGTTTTCCGAGCTGGGTAAAGGGTGCGAAGTTGCCGTATTCGTCATAGAAACATGCAATGAGATAGACACCTGGAGATGCCAGTGTCGCAAGAACCCATCTAATAGAACCAATAATGTTAGAAGCAAAGCGTCGAGGGATAGAGTGCCACCATGAGCTTCGTTTTTGGCTGTCGCCTGTGTCGTTGAGCAATGGTGTACTCTCGTCAGCCGGCTTTTCGGTGAATCGCGATTCGTCGATAGTATCCTGGGCAAAGGATTCAGTCTCGTGACCGGGAGGTCTACCGTCGCTGTGCTGGTCGTCGGAGGCCAATCCAATTGTGCCAATGGGACCTCCTCCTATGCTGTTCGATCGAGATTGAGTTGGACTCGGGGGCGGCGATACGCGGGCCGTTAGGATGTTGAGGGAGTTCATCGCCACAGGCTATCGCATTCCATGAGGTAGAAGAAGCAGTTCAGGGGATACGCTCGAGTCTTGAATGTAGGTGCAAAGAGTTCGGAAGTCTGTGACGGCGGACGGAAAGAAGGGAAACAGTCCCGAGGAACGGATCGTCGGGCTATTGGCCGGCCTGGTTTCGCGGGAAGGAGAAGCCGTCGATACAAAAGCTGATTGACAGGAGTGAAACGAATGTCAAGAAGGCATCGAAAGCGTGCGGCCAAGCGAAAAAAATAAGAATAGAGGCAAGGACCTGGACAGGGGCGCAGTGCAATCGCGATGGTAGGGCCAGGGAATGTACAAATGGCCTAATGATAAAGAGTGCCAGGGAGGAATTAACAAGGGCACTTTTTGAACGACAAAGCCCAAGCAGCAGAAACAAATCCAATCCAAAAGTACAGATGTCTTGAGTGGTGAGACGATTAGGTTAGCCTGGTCTAGTAACCTATCGGTTGGTTGTATAAACTGCTAGACGAGACAGGCAAGACAGAGCAGAGCAGAGACAAGCCGCCCTCGCACGGTTGTCAACGAGTAGTTATCAACTGTTTCGTGGCGTTGAGAGGGGAGCTGGCTGCTGGAGAGAGTTCTAAGACTGGGGAGCCTTTTGTTGGTCAACTAAGTTAGGTCCAAGATCGGGTTCTTCCAAGCTAGAAATAAGCAGCCCTGCAGCGCTAGTTGTAAAACAGTAGCAAATACGTAAGTATAGCGGGCTATCGACGGGTGAGGCGGGGAGTCCTTTTTTCTGGCTTGTGAGAAACAAGGACAAAGAAGCCCGTGGCGATTGACTGCTCAAGAGGAATAAAGATAAGATGAGGGGGGCAAGTTTACGAGCCGCTCTGAGCGCGCGCAAAGAGAGCGTGAGGGATCTGGTCAAATCAGATCAATTCAGAAAGGAGTGAGTAGATCACAAAGGGAGTGAGATGTGAGAGAATTTGCTGATGGGTGGCTCGATTGACGACGGATGATGGTTGAGAGGGATGGCACGTGTTGGGGATTGAGGTGCCGAGATGCTGGGGAACTGCCAGGCTTTGGAGTGGAGGGGCTCCAGCCTGCGAACTCGAGTTTGTAGGCTGGTTTTCAGTGCATCACTGGTCCCTGCTACAGTAGCGCTACAGGGGTTCTTGGATGCCGCGGCTCGTATCAATCACATATGCTCTGGGCTTTCAGAATTCCTATGTCCTCCACTATCATAAATGGCCTAAGGATCTGAAGAGTCGAGAAAATAAAATAGTCAAAGATCATACCAAGTTTCTCCTAAACTACCTAATCCTTGATACTACTTGGGACATAACCTTTCCATAAGCTTTCTGCCACCCCGAGCCAACGACGTATCACAACCAAGGCAAGTATACCTTTTTGTTTCCCAAACAGCTCGTGTCACCACAGCGATCATATTTCCCATTGATAACAGCTTCATTATGGATCTTCCCCAGATCCATCGACTGGCTCAGCTTCCACTGCCCGGGCCTCTCTTTGCAATATCCCTTCCTGGCGTATCTGCCGCAGCGATGTAGGATCAATTACACCATCAGGCAAACGAAGATGATGGATGGCATCGCCGTGAGATATGATTTCGCCCTCCACTCGCTCGATCCTGCAAAGGAGTTGGTGAGAGTCGCATTGGCCAACATATCCTCGATGAGAATTACATGTGCAGACAACTTGCTGCCATGTCTCAACCACCTCTTCACTGAAATCGAAATCGCGTGTTCCTCGCCATGTGAGAGTCGCTGAGCCATGTACCTTACTGCTACTCTTTTTGTTCTTGTGGAAGATGACCGCACTGGCTTCGTCGT